AAAATAGTGGGACCAGCAGTTAGCGTAATGGCTATGTCGCTGGACTCCCACGTAGTCGACAGCGGTTTGAGTCCCGGACCCAGTGGCTTAAACTCACACCGGGCGCGTGTGCGTGTGTGCCCAAGATCCCGAGAGGAGAATGGAGGAGAAGGGATTGCGGTGTGGCCATCCCCCCTGGGGGGTGATTTCTCACTTTCTGTCTCTCTGTCTCTCTCTGTCTGTCTGGCAAGTGCAAGTGCCCTATAACGAAAAACCTCTCCAAAAAATAAATAAATAAATAAATAAATAAATAAATAAATAAATAAAATAGTAAAATGAAAACTGGGTTTTCAGAAGATTCTTAGACTGGATGATTTGGAGAAGAGGAGGTCAGTGATAGAATATGGTAGTGAAAGGGGAGGTATTATCAGTGTGTAGCTATGGGGTGATGGTGGGTTTGGGCTCACGGACATGAGAAACGCCAGACAATTCAGTGGGTTTTCTGAACAAGTCCTTGGGTTCTTCTCACACCCAGCTATATTGAGGTATGACTGACAAATAAAAATTGTGTGTACTTAAGGTGCACAATGTGATGTTTTGATATACATACACACTGCGAATGGTTGGCACAGTGAAAACAATGAACAGATCCGTCCCCTCACATAGTTACTGTTGGTGAACACCCGAAATCTACTCTCAGCAAATACACATTATTCATTATAGTCACCATGCTGTTCCTTGGGCCTCCAGAAAAGCTTCATCTTGTGAGAGTTGTACCCTAGTCCAGCATCTCCACTTTCACTCCTTTCTAAGGTCATCATCCCACCCTCTGTCTCTTTGAGTCCGACCTCTTGAAGAAGACTCTGCGAGGTCATGCAGTATTTGCCATGGCATGTCTCATTTACCTCCCTTGCTCCAAACCCTCCACATGTCTGATGCTGTCACAAATGGCAGGATTTTCCTCCTTCTTCTTTTTTAATGTTTTTGTCACAGGGCACATGCACTCAGTAAAGAGAGACTGAGAGGGAAAAGTTACTCTCCACTCTGGAGGTGAGAAACGGTCACACCGCAGTCTCTCTTCCTCCATTTTCCTCTCATGAATTTGGGTATGCATGCAACCACATGTGTCTGGTGTGATTTTTAAGCCACCACTTCTGGGACTCAAACCGTAGTCAGCCATGCCGGAGTCCAGCCCCTTAACTACCATGCTGAATGCTGGCCCTAGGCTTTTCTTCTGTTTAAAACCTGAATAATAATCCATTGCAGAGGCATACACACCACATTTTCTTTAACCGTTTATCTGTGGATGAACACTCAGGTACGTTTCCACACCTTGGCTATTGTGAATCATGTGAACATGGGAATGCAAATGCCTCTTTGAGAAAATGAAGTTATCCTTTGGATATATATCCATAAGTGGGATTGCTGAATCTATTGTTTTTTTTAAGAGAGATTTTAGGGACCAGCAGTTGACATAATGGCTATGTCACTGCACTTCCACATAGGTGACCTCGGTTCAAGTCCCAGACCCAGTGGCTTAAACTCATGCCAGATGCGTTCCCAAGATCCTGAGAGGAGAATGGAAAAGAAGGGATTGAGGCGTGGCCATCCCCCCTCCGTGGGGGGGGGGTGATTTCTCGCTTTCTGTCTCTCTGTCTCTGTCTTTCTGGTGAGTGCATGTGCCCTATAGCAAAAACTTCTCAAAAAAAAAAAAAGTAAAAAAGAGAGAGAGAGATTTTAGTCATAGGGTGCGGGTACTTGCCAGAGAGACAGAGACAATCCCTTCTCATTCTCTCGTGATTTTGAGCATGTGCACACACGCACCTGGCATGAGTTTCAAGCTACCAGGCTTGGGACACAGACTGTGCTTGATGATGCGGGAGTCCAGCAATGTAATGCCATCTGCTGGTCCTGTCTACTTGTATTTTTATTTGAGAACTCTCCATAGTGTTTTCCATGATGTGGAATAGTATAAACGATGTTCTAATGTAATTCCCACCATCGTTGTACGGGGGTTCCCTTTCCTCCACATCCTTGTTGCCCTTGTTCTCCTCTGACTTTCTGATTCCAGCCATCCTAACAGGTGTGAAGTACTAGCCCATGGCGGTTTTGATTCGTGTTTCCCAGGTGTTTAGTGATGTGGGGCTTCTTTTCATAAACCTGTTGGCCATTGTTGACCATTGAAACCGACAGTTCAGAAGCATTTTCTCCCTTCCTTTCAGCTTCCGTTCACAACAAACATCCACAGCTCTGGGCCAGGCCTGTGTTTGGGAGCCCTACTCAGTTATCCAGACTGGCAACCCAACTATAGCAACCTAGTGTGACAGGGCCCAGAAATCAGCAACCACAGAGGTGCGGGGCAGTGAAAACACCTAAGCCAATCCTGGGGCACCTGGATGGACTTTCTGTAGTAAGTTTTCCAAGCTGAGACACCGTGGGGAGTTGGAGATCCCCAGATGAGGGTGAGGACAGACAGGTAAACAACACAATGCCATTTGACACAGAAACACAGCTAATGTACGCATAATATTATACTCTTCCTTCTGTTGGGGAAAAAAAAATCTCAGCACAAATGTACCCTTTTTAAGGCTGAGCTAACTGGACCCATGTCCACCGGGCAAATTAGCTCAGGACACCTCCCAGGATCACATTCCCAGGACTTTGAAGAATGGATGCAGGGTCCTCCTGGCTCCTGAAAGGGACCTTGTTAATGAGGCCTGGGGGCAGGTGGCTAAGGTCCGGAGGTTCAGCCTCCCTGCGGCGTCCACTGCACTGGCACCTCTGCTCGCCCAGCCCGTTTCTCTCCACGCTGGAACACACCTGGGCCGAAAAGAGGGGCACATTAATTGGTTTGGGTACCGGAATGGGGATTAGAGACAAGCAAGAAAAAACATGCCTTGGGTATTAAAAAAGAAAAAAGGAAAGTGAAATCCGAAACAGGGGCAGAGAGCGACCCTTAGGCACACACTTTGTGAGCCGCTGGGGGGAGCACACCTCGGTGGGAGGTCACCTGCTTAACATATCACCCCCACGTTTTGGTATTAAAGCCGGAGCCGGAGGGGAAAGGACAGCAGCGGGGTGTGGTGGAGGGGGCAACATTCATGTCTCCACGCTCCGCAGGTCCCCCAATTCTCAGGCCGCGGCTCCCCACTTTCCGCAGCCTCGGTCCCCGCCAGGGGCGTGTTTGAGGGGCGGGGCCGAAAGGCGAGGTTGGAAAAAAAATCATAAAAGGGAGGTAATTAGCATCCCTAGATCCCATTGGTTCTCCGCCTGCCCTGCTTTGCATACGCCCTCCTCGCTCGCTGCCTGGGGTTTGCTGGGGTTTGCTGGGGTTCGACAGGGTTTGCAGCCACCTCGGCTGCTGCTGCGTTCAGTGCCGGGCGGGCGGCGAACGAGCCGGGGCCCGGAGCTGGGACCCGGGAGGGGACCGGCCGGTGGAGCGGCGGCGGCGGCCTCATCCGGGCGGTCGCCGTCCTAAGAACACTGTGGCCGGCGCCCAGCGGCTTCTGCGCCCGCTCGGCCCAAAGAGGAGCGGCCCAGACACTTTTTTATTTTGGAAGAAAGGGGCGAGTCCTGACGGGAGCTTCCCTCCCGGCCTGTCTCGTTCCTCGGTGCGCTCCAGCTCCGGCCCCGACACTGGAAGATGACTCCGGGGTCCTGCGTGTGCATTCCAGCGGCGGCGTCTCGGGGAGGCAGCCGAAAGTAGTAACACCTGGTAGTAGCGGTTGGCGGAAAAGTGAGCTCAGGCGGCGCGGACTCGGCTCTCCCCGCACCCCCGGCGCCCGCTGCTCTTCGCTGCTCCTTCCCCTCGGCTCCCCGGCGGCCGCAGCATGAAGTGGCGCAGCGATGGCCAGAAGAGGTAAGAAGCCCGTGGTGCGAACGCTGGAGGATCTGACGCTGGACTCGGGTTATGGTGGCGCGGCGGACTCGGTGCGCTCCTCCAACTTGTCCCTGTGCTGTTCTGACTCGCACCCGGCGTCCCCGTATGGCGGGAGCTGCTGGCCGCCTCTAGCTGACTCCATGCACAGCCGGCACAACAGCTTTGACACCGTCAACACTGCCCTGGTGGAAGACTCCGAGGGGCTGGACTGCGCGGGCCAGCACTGCTCGCGGCTGCTGCCGGACCTCGACGAGGTCCCCTGGACCCTCCAGGAGCTGGAGGCACTGCTGCTGCGCTCGCGGGATCCCCGGGCAGGCCCAGCGGCCCCCGGCGGCCTGCCCAAGGACGCGCTGGCCAAGCTGTCGACGCTGGTGAGCCGGGCGCTGGTGCGCATCGCCAAAGAGGCGCAGCGCCTGAGCCTGCGCTTCGCCAAGTGCACCAAGTACGAGATCCAGAGCGCCATGGAGATCGTGCTGTCCTGGCACTGCTGCTGCGCTCGCGGGATCCCCGGGCAGGCCCAGCGGCCCCCGGCGGCCTGCCCAAGGACGCGCTGGCCAAGCTGTCGACGCTGGTGAGCCGGGCGCTGGTGCGCATCGCCAAAGAGGCGCAGCGCCTGAGCCTGCGCTTCGCCAAGTGCACCAAGTACGAGATCCAGAGCGCCATGGAGATCGTGCTGTCCTGGGGCCTGGCGGCACACTGCAGGGCGGCGGCGCTGGCCGCCCTGTCTCTCTACAACATGAGCAGCGCCGGCGGCGACCGTCTGGGCCGCGGCAAGTCGG